AAAAAAAAAAAAATTCTACTTTCCTTCTTGGCCCTCAGCATCTGCCTCTCTCTTTACACTGACTAACCTGGTAATAATCATTTTATGTCAGTGAACATCAGTAGTCTATACTGTTAGGGGTACTTTCTGTCCATTTTTTATTCAAGGAACCTTAGGAGTTAAAAATCAGGAACACGATTAAATTGCTAATTTTTTTGTATTTCTCTATGATTTAATTGTAATTAGAGTATATACTAAATTTGTGGTATATACATAATTGATAGAAAAATCAACAATTTTTTCATGAAAGTTAAAGTACATGTTAATGTATTTGGTTTTGATCAGTTATTGAAAGACCAAGGATGACTATAGTTAATTTCCCATAACTGAAATATGTACTAGAAAAAAATATGAGTTCAACACATTATTTGAAATACTGTAGGTTTATTTTTTAGTTTTGAATTACTGTTGATTCTCTAATTGATTTTCCCTTTATTCATATAGCACGTCCACCTATACATGTGAATCATGGTGTGTGGTAATTAGTATTATCAACTTTTCTTTTAAGTGCTTAAATTTTGTTAACACTAACTGCTGCATTTTGGGGCAGTAGGCATTAACTAAAATTAAATTGCATTCTTTGCCTTACCTTGATTTAAGTCTTTGCTTTGCTTCATTTTTCTGGCTCAAACTTCTATAACAATTAGAGTAGAAATATATGAGAAGTCAATTATAATGAGACTCAGATTTGTTTATTAGGATTTGCTTTTATTTTATTTATTTATTTATTTTTGAGACAGAGTTTTACTTTGTTGCCCTGGGTAGAGTGCTTTGGTGTCACAGCTCACAGCAACCTCAAACTCTTGGGCTTAGCGATTCTCTTGCCTCAGCCTCCCAGGTGGCTGGGACTACAGGCCCCCACTACAGTGCACCTACCTTTTTGGTTGTAGTTGTCATTGTTGTTTAGTAGGCCCAGGCCGGGTTCAAATTTGCTAGCCCCCATGCATGTGGCTGGTGCCCTAACCACTGAGCAACCGGCACCAAGTTTGGATATTAATATTTGGTCCCTGAATTAAGTAATTTTTTTTAAGACAGAGTCTCACAGCAACCTCAGACTCCTGGGCTTAAGTGATTCTCTTGCCTCAATCTCCCAGTAGCTGGGACTACAGGTGCCTGCCATAACGCCTCGCTATTTTTTTGTTGCATTTGACCCAGGCCGGGTTCAAACCCATCAGCTTTGGTGTATGTGGCTCTTGCCATAATCACTGTGCTATGGGCACTGAGCCTGAATTAAGTAATTTGATCTAATACTGCCTGTAAGAAGATTGGTGGGGTTTCTGTTTATAATATGTTCATCATAAGGAGACTAGTCTGCTGACACTCATACAATCCCACTGGATGTATAATTTAAGCTATTCTTTTTTGTTTGTTTATATAAACCCTAGTGATTTGCACAGATTGTTTTCTGTACTAAGGAGACAAAACAGTCATTTCAGATTTTCGGGGAGTAGAGTCCTGATCCTTTCTCTGAGTTGTTTGTTGTGGCATTAAATGAAAATTCATGGATCTTTAAATCTTTTGAGTGCATGAATTGCTTTTCATAGTTCTTGAGCTCATTGCCATGATTCTCATACATTTCTCGTATTTCTTCATTTCATAGAATGACCTCTTTATTTTTATTTCAGTTCGAGATAAATTGCGGGAGATAGTAGGAGCATCTACAAACTGGAGGTATATACACTTTTGTGTTCATTCTTTCATCCCTGAGGTATTATGGTAGGCTATATTTACTCTCATTTGTTAATCACATTGTAGGGATGGGGAACTCTGTATTTGAGAAGGATTGAGAAGTTTTGTTACTAGAGGAAAAGATCAATGTTTCCACATATTCATCAGGTGATGCATCGTCAAGAAATAATGTGATTTACACATATTTTGCATTTTTCAAAGTGCATTCAGGTATATGATCTCATATATTCTCATAACAAAACTTGTGATGTGCTTATAGCATATGTTCCCATTCCTTTTTTACACACGGTGAAACTGAAAGTCAGAGAAATATAGTGTAAGAGTTTGGGACTTGAACCCAAGTCTCCTGGTTTTTCTGTTTCATGCAGTTTGACTCCTTTATTGCTTCTTTGTCAGTTCAAAATTAGCCAGGTCTCCTATAATATGTTTCTCTTTCTCTCAGTATTTTCCTCTTGTAAAATAGGATCATACCCTTCTTGGTGCACGGAATTGTGAGGCTAAAATGGGGTAAAAATAAAAAGCATGAGTGATAACTAGACATACAATAATCTGTTGTTGTTATTGAAATTATCCAATGACTTATTTTTAAAATATATGAAAAATTTCAGTTTACTAAAAAGAAGAATGAATACCTATTCTCCATCACCTGGACTCAATACTTACTAACATTTTGCCAAGTTTGCCAATATATATATTGGCTGAACCTTTTTTCTAAGTAAATTATAGACATCATGACACTTCAGCACTTCTTTCTTTTTTTCTGGAAATCCCCTTATCTCCTAAGAGCATTTCTTTCTTTCTTTCTTTCTTTTTTTTTTGAGGAATATACTTTTAAAAAATTAAATTATAGCTGCATACATTAATGCAATTATGGGGTACAATGTGCTGGTTTTATATACAATTTGAAATACTTTCATCAAAGTGGTTAACATAGCTTTCACCACATTTTCTTAGTTACTGCATTAAGATATTTATATTCTACCCTTGGTAGATTTAATATGTACCCTTGTAAAATGCACTGTAGGTGTGGTCCCACCAATTACCCTCCCTCCACCTATCCTCCCCACCCCTTCTCCTCTTTCCCCTTCATCTTGGCCTGTAGTTTGGTTATAGCTTTCATATGGAAGTGTGGGTGCTTATAAATTAGTTTCATAGTGGGGCTGAGTACATTGGATACTTTTTCTTCCATTCTTGA